AGATAACTGAAAATTCCATTCTAAAATAATTATAAGTTACAGTAACTTGTTTGACTTAAATAAAGATAGGCTACATCAACCCCCCCCCATATATTCTTACTCAGGTTATATTCACTGTATTCTGATACACAACTGATATTGCTTTACAAATAGTTTAATTTTGGTGTATTTCATCTAAGATGTAAATGATACCATTGACATGACCAACCTATTGGAAAGTTTCCAAATGGATCTGGTTTTGGTGTACTACAATAACTGCTTACTACAGAGAGAAGAAGGTTGAAGAATGTTTTCAAAATGCAGAAAGATATCCTGTACATTCTCCTCTTAAATTTGCTGTGTTTTATTTACTATTGGTGTACTGTGTGTTTGGAGTCAGATGCTGATTGCTGTGCCCTTCTTTAATTTCTTTTGGAAAATTGCCTTAGATATGGTAACGCATTTCCAGTTTTTTATTACCACTGGAGTCAGACTATCAGCTGTTGTAGCTGTTTATACTTATGGGTAGGTAATCAGTATAACCACTGGTTGCATGATAGTTCTTCAAGCAAAAGACATTTCACTTCATTGATTTTATTTTTTTTTTAGAAAAAAGACCACATTTTTCCAATGTTTTTTTCAAGGGAAGTTCAGCTCGTGCAGCTTTAATGCATAAAGAAATAATTTTGCATTCAATAAGAATGACAGCTTGTCTAAATAGAAAATAGAGTCTTTTCCAAATCCACAAAAATGTTAAACAAACCATTGCTAGATCATGTGCAAGACCTGTCTTGTACTGTTGCAGTTATTAATGTTGGGCCACTGAAGTAAGATACATTTTGATACAGAGAACAGATGTGGACAGAGGTTCCAGATTTATATTCCTGTTTCTCACAGCTCAGGGAAGATAGCTTATTTGTGAATCTAAAATGTGTTAGGAATTCATGAATAAAGTTCATGAAGAGTACAATTTCAATGTGAGCCTCGTCTTTTTTATCTGTTTGTTCTCTTACTCTTAAAATAATCTAAGCCCAACATAACAAAACCAAGAATAAACCACAGTAGACTGGAAAACACTTTACTACTGAAACCTACAGAAACGTTATCTGAGCAAACCACATCATTAACAGTAACATAGCTTTTTTATTTCCAATTGCTTCACAAAACTGGATGGAAATTTGCAGGCATACTGCAAAGTAGTAAGCATGAAGGTCAGCACTAAAATGCCATATTATTCGTATTTCTGTGAAAAATGTTAAATGGCTGAAACAAATTACAAACAAGGTCATGCTTATGCCATCCACAGAACTGGAAAAAAAATGGGTATAAGGTAACATATGAACTGCAGAAGCTGTTTCATGTGCTTACATCTGGATTTGGCTTCAATTTGGATTGAAGCAATGTTTAGAAATGCAGCTCCTTTTTTCACAGTGAAGACAGTCAGGCATTGGGATCTAGGTCAATTACTAAGACCTGTATCATGAACAGTAACGGTAAGGAAGTCTGATAAAAGGTATTTATTCATTTGTGCAATATCTGGCAAACTGATGGATAAATCGCTATATTCACCTGCAAAAAGACCTGTCTGTGTAACTGCAAAATAAAATATTTCTCTGGTTCTGAAACACGCAATAAAATTTGTTGCACAGTTTTAAGTCAGTAATTGAATTTATTTCTTAGTTCAAATATAAAATAAGAAAATGAAATTTAACAACCTTGGTATCTTTAGTGACTTCTTCAGTTATGATAATGTCTTACTATGCCTTAAAATAACAAAAAACATTTAAAAACAATATTACTATTAAGATAAATACTGATCTTCGGTTGTAGAAGTTCTATGAGGCAAGTTATTGTAATTTTTTACCATGTTATATCTACTCTTCTAAGGGTATAACGAGATAAACTGAGACTTACTGTACAGCAAAAGCAATCAAGTTCATAGAGGTATTACCTTGGTACACGAAGTATTTGTTCTTATAACTTCCATCCCTAGGTTAAGATTATAAGAGGTTAAAAGCAACATAAAAAACCTCCAAAACAGTATTTTGATCTAACCTTAAGTGTTCATCTTGATAAACATACCTGGGACACTTGGAAAATAACAGCCATTAGATCACATAAGAAGATAGCACAACAAAGCTTTAAGCTGTAATAATTAATGGAGAAAAAACCCAAATAAAACTGATCACCTGATCCTGCACAATTCACCTTATGCAGGACAAGTGTTGCATCCAAGCCACACCATAGGAAAAAAATATCTATTCCACAAAAATGAATTTTAATTAAGTAACATTTCAAAGTATAGCAGTATCCATCATTAATAAAGCTCCTTTTTGAAAATGCAGAAAAAGGAGTGTGCTTACTAACATATTGTACACAAAAAAGGGCTAAAGAGAACGTAAATATAAGTTTTCTTTGCACTATTCACAGCTAAAATCTGGACAAAATCATAGTAGATTACATTCTCCACTTTCCCTGCACAGTGCTGTTTAGACTTAAGAGTAAGCATGTTGGAAATAATACAGACTATTTAGTGCAAGAATAAAACTTTCTAGTATGTTCATACGTTTATGCTACACAAGATAATACAATCCATCTGTTGGAAAAATCCTCACTGAATATTATATCTGTCTTGGTAATAGACATGAATAGGAATCAAGATTATTTTTTTAAATCCAAAGCTGAGTAACAGTGAGCCTTACAAAGAAATGCATTTAGGAATCCGAGGCAAATTACGTGTTGTATGTTGGAGTCACTGAGAACAGTTAGCACAATGTAACCAAATGTCAACTGGAGTATTTTGCAGTAACTTACCGAAGAAGTCTGTGTTTAATGAACAGATGAATGCTTGGTTTCTAAGTTTTCAACTTCAGATGGCGAAGATTAAGTGTTAAGGGTGTTACTGTAAACGTTTAAGTGAGATGAACATTACTGATTTTCTAATTTTACCACATGGTTTATTTCAGAAGAAAACAAGCACCAGTTACATAGTTCTCCTGCAAGTCAGTAAACAGTCACACACTAAAACTCAGTACAATTTGCTTCTTTGTTTATGTGCAGGATATTTAGTTTGGTTTGCAAAGAATAATAAGAACCTCCTGGCAGAATACCGCAACTAAATTTCTAAAAAGCCACTTGGTTAATCTCAGTGTTGAATCTAGCTGTTTCAAATTATCGTAATGTATAATAACAGTCTTACTGACAATATAGATGCACAGAGCCAAAAAAAGCTAGAAATAGTGGCCAAAACGACAAACTAAGCGCCAGCCCAAATGACAACAAACATATGGCCATTAACTGAAGAATGGAGGGGTTTAGGAATGCAGCTGTCTGTGGTCTCCTAAAAGTTCCAGAGGAATGAAATGCTGTGAGGACTGGCAAAGTCTGGATGAGAAGTCCTACTGACGATGGTAGGTCCTAAAATGGAGTCACCCCATCGGTTCATGCCTGAATTCAGAGATTTCTGTGGTCAGACTATGTTCATACCATTGGCCTCATAACGTACATCAACAAATTAATATTGTATGGATGTCATTTCAAAGCCTACTGAAGACGAAGAGCCATTATTGAAGCCATTAGAGCACAGATGGTTCGAACTATATGCAGATATTCATACTTGCATTTCTGCATTATAGCTGGTTTTTTTTTCCTGTTGAACTGTAATGAATTGTCTCATAATCTATTCCATCTTCTTGCCATTAGCAGGCTTTGAATGTTCACAAATAGGAGCAAAGAACTCATTTTCCAGAGCTTTAATCACACAAAGAGGGAATGCCTAATTCTCTAAATGAAATGGTCTGTGATCACTGAAGCAGAGATTTAATATATCACGGCAAATTAGGTAGATTTTAATAAATTACTTATCTCTCTGAATACTTTACATATGCTTATGAAGAAACATAGCCTGTTTGCAAACAGTGGAAATCCACAGCCTATAAAATCCTTTGAAGAAAATGACAAATAAAAAAGTAAATTAAAAAATGAAATGTATTATATCCTCATTCTCAAGAGACAATCCTTTTGCAGCATTGATTCACAGCTCCATTAAAAATATCAATTAAATCCTTCACTGAGATTGGTTAAAAGCTGGAAAATTAACTTTCCGAGCCAGACACTGGTTATTCAGATACAACAATTCCTTGTATATGTTTGATGTAAATTCTAAAAGTGATAAAAACCAAATGAAAACACAGTTGCTTGTCCCTACAGCTCAAACTAGGTGAAGCGAAAATGGATACTATATGGCTTCTTTTTGTGCTTTGACAGATGTTCGCTGAAAGTAAATCTTTTATGGTACAGAAAAAAATGACTGTGCCTGCCCTCCCCCTACTTCAAATAATGATAATCATAAACAGCTGATTATAAAGTTAGTAGAAGGGTAAAAGTTATTTTAAAAAAGGTTGCAGTAATTTAATAAGTCCTGCAACTAGCCTCATTTTTTACATTTAATTGATAGGAACTGCATGCATCAAAGAAAACACATACTGAGATTTAATGTGCATAAAATGGATATTAGCATTTTAAAGAGGCAGATTAACACATTAATCCAAGTAATTTTCATATATTGCTTTTAATAAAATCTTCACAGTATAAAATTCTTAATGAGGCTAATCACAGGCATTCCATTAAGTGGGGTGATTAGGGATAACATAAAAGTATTTTTAATCAGTTTTCTAAGGCTTATGGTTTTTTTATTAAAAATTAAAAATTTGACTTGCATTTTTATTACTATTTTATGCAGAAAAAATATGGAAAATGCAAATAAAGCACATCGTTCAATCATGTAGGTATTAATTATTTACAAGACGTTGTCCATTGTGGAGAGATTCTTAGCCTTAGGGGGAAATATAAAAACAAACAGACTGAAAAGTATACAAAACTTTACAACTACAAATCAAGCGTCCTTTTCATATAAATTATACATTAAATATACTGTAAGAATTACAAAGATCTCATCTCTGAAGCACTATCAAGCATGTATTTACACTGGGAGAAAGAACTTCTGTAGGCAAACATCCCTTTCATGCCTCCGAGTCATCTTTCCATTCCTCATAGACTGAATGCAGTGCATGGAGGGCTTCCACTGTTACTTTGAGCTTTCCAATTACTGCACTATCATCTTCTGCATCGAAAACTAGAAAGGAAACATCAGAAAACAGCATTAGCAATTTCATTTAAGGCTTTGATTTTATTCTGATAATGGTCCTTAGCATTTGGACAGATTAAAAGGCACCTACCATATGCCTAAAAAAAATAAAGAAAGAAGAAATCTTCCAGTTCAGACACTCAGCCTACTGGGAACTGAGCACTCTAGGAACTAGAAGGTACATCAATAAAAGTATTAGTGTGTGAATGAAATTTAAAATAAAGAAAACTATCTGTACGATAATTGCGTATGTAAATTAATTATTTTCCACAGTATGCAAATACAGATGTTCCTAACCGCATTAGAGACATATATGCATACTTATAAATACTTCTAAGTAAAATATACACTGATTAATGCATTTTCTATATAGTTTTATGACCGGTCCAAATCAGCCTGGACAGTTACTAGTATTTCAATAGTAAATCCTTTTTTCCAGTTGGTGCAATGCAAAATTATTTATATTTCGGGCTTCTATGTGTTGTAAAACAGTGAAGTGTAGACAAAGATGGAATTTCTCCTAGACTAAACTATTTAACTGCCTTTGTGTTTGTGAGTTTTAAAATAGTATTTAAAATTTCTATTTTACAGAAATTAGCTAACGGTTTAAAATTGCACTCTTTTACAACATCTAAGTAAGCCCAGAGGGCCACAATCTCTGCTGCTGTGATTAAAAACATGCTGCTAAGCCAAAAATGAGGCTCTTCCCCAGTCTTGCATAAAAAGAAATGAGGCTGCCTAACATGACTCTAGAAGGAATTTGAATTAAAACAAATAATCTTGAATGTACATATTTTCAAAGCAAATTATACAGCAGACAAATAGCAAGGTTACATATTTACTGTATTAACTGGGATACGTACTCTGGGACATGCAATGATAATTGTACACTACAACTTCTAGGCCGGTGGGACAGCTCAGAAGAGATTGGAAGAAAGAAAAATATGGACTAAATGTTCCATAATTTACTTGGTTGATAAAGCTATTTATTATAGGACAGACTGAATACTATTCTTAGAGATCTAAATTGAATATCCTTGGATGAATCACTCTGTGAACTGTCAGCAGACTTCAGGAGATGTTATTCTTTTTACTTACAAGAACAGTAGGATAACTGTAATTAATGATATCAGAAGACAACATTAATTCTGTTTTCTCAGTTTGACTATTGTCATATTATCTCCGAGACATACTGTTTTATGCCTTGTCTTTACTCATTTTCACCCAGCCTCTTGCTTCGCTGTTCACTTAATTGCTTCAAATTTCACGTAGGACACTCACACAATCAGCAAGGAAAGGCACAAGATATGAAAAAGGTATATACTTGCAGTCCTCAAAAAGAATGATTAGATCTTCCTGTGGTAGCGTTCTATGAATTTACCTGTGTCTAGGTTTATTATTTGTCCCTCAAACCAATACCCACCTCAGAAAATGTGTACAATATTATTTAGGGATTCTATTTATTCTGCTGTTAAATTTAATTGAAGTTCGTGTCCAGATCTTAAGAACACATACTTTTACAATTACTTTGTCAAAGAAAATATACTGATATATTCTACTTCTATGATGATCTGACATATAGTAATGTAAAATTAATTTCAAGTCTTTTAAAGTCCTAAGTTTTCAGAAAATATGGTTATGGATGCAATAAAAAAATCTAAACTGTACAGCATATTCAGGGAAGGGGAGTAATGAGGATAGGAATAAGAATCAAAGTATTTCTATCTATTACTATTGCTTTCATACATATAATGTACGTAAAGTAAAAATCAGTTTAAATGTTTTATGATTAGGGGAAGAAATGCTACTCATAATATTGAAGTACTGGTCATTAGAGAGAAAAATTATTGGTGGAGAAAATATTAAGTCGTTCAGCCACAGTAAGAAGTGCATCAAATCTGTACATTATTTTTCCAGAAATTTTATTCTTCTTAGAATTTTCTGTAGTGTGTTCCTGGAACTTTGATGCATACTTAGAGTATTTTAGTTACAGCAGGGATACAAATAATGCATGATAATGGAAATGGACAAGAAAGCCGATTTATTTCCCTCACTACTCAGCTCCCCATCACTCAAGGTATGGTAATCAGACACAGCAGTAGAAGTAGCAAAGTCCCATTAGCTTGGCATTCTAGTAGGGCTAGCCAGAATTCTTGCTATTGCAAAGAGTACCTTGCAAACATGGGTGCACTGTGTCTAGTAATTAAGCTGGTTCACTTATCTTTATAGGAGAGTAACTGTTTTATAACAGCTACACCCTCAGCTTCTTCACTGAGCTTTACCACAATGGGGAAAACAGGAGAGGAACTGATAACCATGCCCCTGCTACCTTGGGGAACAGGAAAGTCTAAGCAAGAAGAGTATTTTCCTTCACTGTCTATGAAAGGACCAAGTAGCCTTCTTGAGTCTTCTTACCAGTGTTATAGAAATGCTGTCATAAGACCCAGGAAACAGAAGATTCCTCACCTCTTACTCACCTCACCTTTCTCACAGTGAAAGTTCAGACACAGGCTGTTACAGAAGGATGCTTACTCTAAACTGATACCTAACCAAAACCACCAGTACCGCATATGTCTCAAACACAGGTTTCATATGGAGGACACAAGCCTGAGGTACTCTGGGGGTTATAACATAACTTCAAACAAGACACAGACATTAGCAATACAGAATTGCTGGCATAAATTTCAATAAGAAAATATATGTTTATAGTCTTGCTAGCATTAAGCAAGGTGTACAAAATAATTACAGTAAGTGGACATTTCCTGAAAGCTCAGGACAGGTTTTATAAATTAATTATTGTGAGCTGGGAAGGCTGCTTGGTTTGGGGTTTTTTTAAAACAGATTTTAAAGAATAACAATAGTACACGGCTTTTGCAGACTTTTGCAAATAAATATGGAAGCCATTAGTTATTAATGAAGAATTTCTTATTGAAACAGTGTCAAAAAATTACTTGCACAGTAAAGCTTGCAGAGAAAAGCAGAAATTCAACAAATTATTTTTAGTTTACAACAAAGTAATCTCTAAAACTTACCATCAATATCTTGCTCAATGATATCTCTTTGCTTCTGGAATATCTCTCTCAAACTGACATTAGCAAAGCCGATTTCTTCACATTCAAGGTCGTGTTCAACTGCTAGGGGTTCACTGATCACTGTGAATCTTAGGCTAAGCATTAAAAAAAAAAGTTACCTTCAAGAACAGTTGAAGATTAAAAAAAGGAGGGAAAAAAAAACCCCAAACAAAAAAAAAGGCAAAACACACACTCTGTTTTACCAGTTAGGCATAAACCCTAAGTCTTCATCACCTATATTCAACATTTTCCACGACAAGAATAGTCCAAGATCCTTTCTTTTAAATCTTCCCTCCTTTAGCATTATCTAGCAGTACCCGAAGGGCAGAGAGGTTGCAACCACAGATCTGCAGGCTTACAGAACTTTTTCATTTTTCTCTGCCCTCCCCACCACCCTGTGGCGTGATTCTTGTTAATGTGGCAGAATAATCTAAGGATTAAAGACTTTTTTTCATTTGAAACTTGTAAGTTTATTTAGCTCAGCTGCTGAATCAACTCTTCAGGTCACTTAATTTCTTTATATTTACACCCCATAAAAATAAAAAAATGACCTATGTATCTCGAGGCTTTTAGCAAAACTCATTTATAAAATACCTAAAAATATAGTTAGGGTTTTGCTTTATTTTTATTTTTATGGTGTTGACCATGACACGCACTTTTTTCCTATACAAAAACGAACAACTCATAAGCGATAATAGAAGGCTCAGATTAAATGTAATTACGTTTTGTTGGTTAAAATCTTTTAATACCATAAACTTGCTAAAAAAATTCACCTATTTTAATTCAGTCAGGCCACATAAGATGCACCTGTATGATTAATTCAGCTTTGATGTGAAGCATACTTAAGTAAAACTTTCTGGTTGCCCCCAGTTATGGTGTTTTATTTGCATAGTGGTCTTGGAAGATGTTAATTGGATTTCTGTTGGACTGGACTAAACTACACTGGAGATGTGCTCATGGACTACTTACCCCTACCGCACCCCACTGCAACAGACATTCAGTCTATAGGATCAACTGGTAGTTTGAATTCTCAAAACCATCCTAAAAATCTGTGTGTGTGAATATCAGAACATGAGGAAAAACTGCTTTGCACTGGAGATTCTCTGGTCTGCACCACTTGATGATTTAGATCTAGCCTCAGTAAGTTTTAAGCCATGCATTTCTTGGCTTTACACTGAGTGGTGTGGGAGACATGAGATAAACACTTGAGAAAGGTGAATGACATTAGAAATACTAGCCATATTCAACTCATACCCAGCCATAAACAAGTATTTCCAAACACACAGTGTAAAATATTTAGCTGAAAGCTACTGAGAATTTTCACACCTCATTTAGATACTTGGAGAGCATATTCTAGCCAAGAACACATTCCACAAAACTAACAGGAAGCTAAAGGCAGTTATCTCAAAATAGTATCTTTCCACTGTTGTCTTGTGTCTTCATTAGTTAAAGTTGGACCTTACACAGCAATTTGTCCTGCACTTGTTCCCTCTAACCAATACATCTCTTACTTTATCTTCATTATTCTGTGTCTCTCTTATATATAAAATAAAGGCTGTTGAGTATTTACCATGCTGTCTAAAAAACCCTGTGTTTATCCACCCCAAACATCGAAACCCAACAACTCCAGAAAATACATTTCTTCTGTGTACTTAAATTACACTCATGACTTACAAAGAAAAGTATGGCTTTTCTGCTAAACACATAATTCCAGCATTGTGCTAGAGCTGACTTGAGTTAGTGGCTTGTGTAGGGGCCAGAAGCACTGACAAAATGGCAGGAATTCAGAGCTGACTACTTTTTTTTGTATGTCTTGGCAATGTTGTTTAAACTGTGAATGCTTGTGAGCTTTACAGCCTAAAAACAATAAGCATAATTCAAAATAAGTAAAAATTAATTTGCATAAAATCCAGGTCTACAGGAAAGGATATATTGGACAAAATATAATCAAACCTTCCTAAAAGACTTTAAGCCTAACAACTGCAATAAGCTTTTAAGGTAGTTTATTTTTGTGCTTGGCTCTTATTAACAAATATTTGCTACAGAAAATATACACATAAATATTTGTTTGTCACTAAAATCAGACACCTATTGAAAATTTTGAAAATATTGAAAATAGGTGTCTTCAGAAATATTTCTGGAGGCAAAACCCAAAAAATATCACAGCTATTTCCAACAGCGGATGGCTTGATTGACTACACTGGATCTAACTTACGATGCTGGCACAGAGGTAAGCAGCAGGAAAACTGCCAAAACTCAATCAAAAGGAAAGAAATACTTAGATGTGCAAGACAGATATTAAATGAAATATTAACAAATAAAAAAATCATGAGAATAACTAATAACACTGGATTGGGATTGTATTTGGAGCAGATCTGTTTTTGTTATGATTCAGTGTCAATGTTACATTGAGTCAATTGAAGAAACCAGCTCAGCAGTTAAGACAGTGACAGAAGAGGAGGAGATTAGTGCTGGATGTGTTATTACCACTTAAGTGGACCGACCCCTACTAAAATTTTCACTAAAGCATAAACTAAAAGCAGGCCTAATAACATTTGGGACAGTGCCTTATAGCCAAAGTGGAGAGCTGTTCACACTAGCACACTGTCTGGTACAAATCACATGCAAGTATTTTACATTAATAGAGCAAACTTCAACAAAACAGATCAAAAGAACTGCACCTCCAACAACTTAGGGTTCCAACGTGTCTACAAGGTTACAATATTGAATTAAATCTTTGCTGCCAATTAGAAAGGAAGAGATTTGAACTCTGGATCCCATGAGAATACTCCAACTAGCAGACTGCAAGAATAGTACCACAGTCACTTTGACTTTTGTATTTTTTAAAAATATTACAAATGCTTTCAGTTTAGAAAAGACTTAAATACAATATTCAGTATGGTTTAACTAGTTTTCTTCACTTATCAAAAATTGCAAGAGTTTTGTTTTCAGGTTGAAGTGGCTAAAAAGGCACAGGTTACATTGCATTGGAACACACTGCACATGAACAGACTCCTCACTCCACTTTGGCACAGAATGCACAAACGTGCAGTGAGTGTCCCATCTTACCTTAACGCTGCCTCACTGACCTAAAACATGGATGGCAGTTGGAATAACAAGTGCATACTAGGATTTCTTTCATAAATAAAGCTATGTATAGTGTTCCTCTCCTGAACTTCTCTCTAAAAACCTAGACTTCCTCTCTGGCTCATTTCCACATTTCCTTTCCATCACATCAGCTATCAGCACTCACTTCCTTGCAGGAATCCCATGGCTTCTGACAGAATAAGAAATCCTGACATCCCGTTAAAAGTACCACCTGGGAAGATATTTGCTAGCCACTGCAAGAAAGACTAGAGAACTAAATGAAACTTGTCTGCTAATAAAGGGCCAAAAAAAAAAAGTAAAAAGTAATAATTGTCTTAAACTTAAGATGTGCTTTACAAGGAAGCAGACAAACCTGGACAAATATTTGTTTTTGTTATGATGACACCTAAAGGTATTATCCCCAACAGGGAATTTAGAGTGGCTGGACAAAGCTGGGATGTAGGCAGATTTGATTCTAAATCTTTACTCCATAGATCAGTCACTGTTAAACAGCAAGGAGAAAACCTTGTGTGTTAATACAGAATAGTAATGGGAACCTAACACTGTATGCATAAGCTATACTCCTATAATATGGATGCATAGATTTTTGTTACTTTGGAGAACAATGACTTCATATAGTCAGCTTTTTAGAGTAACAATCATTTCCTACCAAGAAACGACGCAGCTGTCAGGATCAACCCGGAAACCTCTTGCATAAACCTGTTCACTCTTGTTATCCCAGCAGGGTGACTGCTAGAGTAATGGATTCCTCCATTCTTCACATACGTCTCTTCTGACACTTGTCAGAAGAGCATACACTCTACCGCCAGGTCTGCAAGCATTGTACAATTTGGCATGGGAAATCAGGTAAGTTTCTCTATGTGACTCAAAGGCAGCAGTGGGATACAAACAGGATGAAGAATAAAATAGAACTATGGGACAGTTACAGTAAGTTAAATGGACTGCCAGAAACGCCTCCTGCTATTAACTGATTTAAAGACTCAAACACATAAGTAAATAACTATCGAGTTCAGATGACAAAATAATAATTGTGTACATTCCTTGGTTTTTTTTGCAAAGTATAGCTTCCTAACATAAATAAGAAATGCAGTTTGAATCCCTATTATACAGGAAAAGAAACAAAACAAAAGGGCTGCCCGTGTCACACAGTACAGCTATATGGAAAAGCGAGTGTTCTGGCAACATCTCCATATTAGTGACGGAGACACTGTCTGTCTGAAAACATAAAGACAAAGGTGCTTGTCAAAAGATAAGAACTATCTTAGTGGTGAGCAACAATTACTAACCTAAATAGAATTTTTAGCAGCGCTTCTAATCTCCTATTGCTCATATATTTTAGATTTCCTATCACTCTATTTAGCAGCATGTTTTCTTTATTTTCTTGAATACTGAATATTCTTGCATTCTTAACCACTAAAGCCATTTATTCAAATGTGGCACCAAAATCCACATTTTTAATAAACACAATGATTCTATATCAAGAAATGAAATTGAAAGAAGAGAAAAATAAACTTTGTTTTGAAATCTTATCTTTTAATGAACAGTAAACCCCACTGCCAACAAATTTTAGATTTGCTACTATGAAAAAATTCTATAACGGCAAGAGCTGTCAGGCCTTGGAACAGGCTGCCCAGGGAAGTGGTGGAGTCACCAACCCTGGAAATATTTAAAAGATGGGTAGATGTGATGCTTAAGGACATGGTTTAGTGATGGACTTGGCAGTGTTAGGTTAACAATTGGACTCTTAATGGTCTTTCCCAACCTAAATGATTCTAAGGTTCTATGAAATAAACTTTCCCATGTAAATGCCATGTCAGTCTGCATTTATTTATTTGTAAGTATAAACTAAAAGAGTATTAGGCCGTGAAATGCCTTATTTTCAGGGCCAATTTGGCTCCTGTTTCAACTACAGGATTAGACTATAGTTGCAACTTTGGCTTAGCAGAAATTTTATATATTATATTAATATCTCTTAACATCTGAGACTATCTTTCTTTTTCAAGGGATATTCATTAAAGTGACTCTCCTTTTGGAAGACAAAAATAGCACGTGATGTATCTATTTATGTTCTAGCATGGATTCAATCATGAGTATCATTTCTAACAACATTTATTGTGACAAGGAGAAAGTTCACCTGAAAACTTAATACACCCCTTAATATACATAAGACACTATCTATGCTTTTATAATTTGGCATAGCACAAACATCAATAAAGTGTCAGGCTAAGCCACGTGCAGGCAATTTTCAATGATATTTATATCCTTGATAATCTGGTTTCCTGAGCTTTAAAGCATTAGTTTAGTTCAGTTCCAGTTTCAGCTGAAAAAGCTCTGATATTAGTTTGTAAGGCTTGTGATAGAAAACATGTGTTGAAGATATAACTAGGCCAGGTTTAAAATGCATAAAGTTGAAAACATTTGGTGTATAGGCAGAATCTTTCCATAAGCCTTGTTTCTTGGTGGTCCTCCTGCTAGAATAAAGTGGGGAACTGAGCTACTGATGAACTTCCTGCCTTGCTATTTAGTCAATACAGAATTGAAATTTCACCACAGACCAAACTAGACACACCAACAAAAGCAGGAAACAACCTACCTAGTGACACAGAGGACAGTACTACAACGGTACATATGAAAAATGAATGCTTCTGTTGTGGGAAAAAGCTCAACTGTTATTATTTTGCTATATTTTTACCTGAAGTTTGTTAAATATTTAGTATACATATCTATACTAAATACTACAGATGCTATATATATCTATACTGTTTTCCACTCTGAAACCAGAAAGCAGATGCATTACTCCACCACCAGATAGATACATACTTTTCAAATTCATTAGTGTTAGAACGCTGATGATAGAATTTATCTTCTGCAAAATGAGGTTGTTAAGAAAACAAACCAAAAAAATCCCCCAAAACACATAGCTAAAATAGCAGTGAGAAAGGTTGCAATATTCTATGCCACACGAACCTACTCAGGGAAGAAATGTAGTTCAGTCACCACAGCACAATGAAGGTATCATTCCTAGCTGAAAGAAGTTTTTCTGTAGTTGGTTAGTTACATATTAACTTCTCAATAAGGTCTAACAGCAAGGCAAACCACAAGCACTATTTACAAAGACATTTTCCAGCACTGATATGTACCTGTCAGTATGCAAATCTGGCTTTAGAAGCATAGACTTGAGATACTCTCTTCTTGCACGATTATTTGCCTTATCCACATGTATCACTGCAAAGTAAATTGAAATTAATAGAATTAGTTATCAATTGCTTTTCATCTTTTAGAAGAAAGAACACGAAGAAAAGAACAAAGAAAAAGAAACATTTCTTGCCCTTGTCTTTCCTAAGGAAAAGCAACAGTGCTAGAATCAAATTTGAAAGGTCATGTGATCGAAAGGCATGTCACTGGCAGGTTTATGTGCACACTGTCAGAAAAGATACAAGCAGCATCTAAGCATGCCACATAGCTGTCACTTGCTGTTAATGGCAATAGCAGTCATGATTTTAAAAGCCAGTGGTCTTTATTGCTTTGTATTTGAAGTGATTTACTGCATTTTCTTCCACTGAGGAAGCTAGTGATAATGATAATGTATGGCAGAGTGCTTGTCCTTTTTGACAGCCTCAGTAATTTAATCCTCCTTTCCTGCCACAATATTTCAGCAAGAGAAACATGTAGACCAATGGACTGGAGAAAATCCACAGCCTGGGGAGTGTGTGTGAGTGCTCCAAAAGCCTTTTATTGTTTTAGTTTAAAATACAAACACAAGAACCCGCTTTTAATTTTTGTACCATTAATACGACCTACAGTGAAAAACAGTCTTGGATTAAAACAAACAAACAAACAAAACAGTAAAATGAGATACAGGGTTTTAGAACATGATTTAAGAAGTTCTTGGGCATTTTTATTAAGAAAGTAGCTAATTTCTTGCAAATTATGTCAGCCTACAAGTAACAGTAAACTACTGTGAAATACTATAAAAATTTAGCATGCAAAAGTTGAGAACAGTGTCAAAGGAATTACTTTTTTCTTTAAGAAATGCAGCTGAAAAAAACTTGCTAGGATAGAACTAGAATGAATATAACCCTCTGAGAAAAAAGCAGAGCTCTAAGGAACACTTTTTTATTTGTTTCTGAGGGCAGGAGGAGGAGGAGGAGCTAGAAATTCGTCTGTCTTTAAATTCTAACATCTTTAATATTCACATGCCTCACTCCCTTCTAATTACTCTGCCGCTGTACTCAAAAACACTCTTTTTCACTCTCCACACCATATTAAGGTTTTATTTTCTTATGTGCTGACAAATCTTTAACACATTTTGTACTCTCTTCTACTATAAAAATACTTTTTTGCATAAACAGAAATTACCAGTGGTACCAAGGAGCAGACGGTATTGGAATACAGTGGTACGAAAGAGATAAGAAGGCTCAAATTAATTCCTTGCAGAGGGATTTATTGAGGGACATATCTCTACAGAAGTCCTTCTAAGAAGTATACCTTACAGAGCTACTGGCTCTCTAGTTTTCTCCCAAGCTTCTCCTCAGCTCTTACCTGGTCAGCAGAAATGCTAATAGCAATCAGTTACTTTCAGCAAACAGCCTGTACAGTTAGTAGATGAATCAGTCAGCCAAAGGAATCTGCAATTTAACACCCTTTTCTCTCCAAACAGAAAGCAAAGCATTGGTGGTCTATCTGGGAAGCCCCAGTTTCCACCCATAATATTCTTACTCTCTTAGAGAGGTTAAAAGAAGCTGTTACTGCCATCTGCTATTCTTTGGGGCATGTGGACGACTTTCCACATGTGCTACTCTCATGGCCAAGTGCTCCTGGGGCCACTACAGGAAGTGATGGAGAGGCAGCAGGGAGACAGATGGACGGCCAAAGAACTTCAAAGGAGCTGCCACATCAACAGATACTTCCCTTCCCCATAAGCATCCCAAATGGAATTTCCTAAGTCTACTAATTCTGTACCTAAAACAATTTTAAACTGAAATTATTTACAAACCTAAAGAGTTTGAATTCATTTCACTCAATGGAAAAAATCAGACTAGAAAGCAAAACATTCAGCACAAGAACTCCATTCAAGTCTGGAGAAAGAGATTAACCACAGTGAAAAAATATTTTTAGATCTTGATGAATATACGTGCTTTCATATCATCCTTTAGTACTGCTTGAACTTAGAATTACATTGCTCCAAGACACAGAACATCTCTTATTTCTATCCAATTAATTGAAAAAAAAAATTCAAAATTAACTTGTGACAGTTTGGATCTAAAATTATAACTTTAAAGTTTGTCCTAAAGAAGCACTAAAATCTGAAGATCACAGTAACACTGGAAACTCATTAAAAATCACTGCAATTCCAAATGTTAACATAGCTGGATCTGTTATAGCATGTTTTTTACATAGCTCACTGTCTGACAAAACTAAACGACCACAAGAGGAAGCAGAGTTTCATCACAGTGATGAAGGAAAAATGTCTCATACAGTGTTGAGCTTTAATGGAGAAAAGAAATAAACACAAAGAAGTATATGAATGTATTTTGACGCAAGGCCTTTATATTTTCATTTGAGTTATACTGAGAAATCCATCTTTTAGAACATGGATCTTCAGAAGTTTATTTTTAATAAAAAACAAACCCTGTCATCTTTCCCCAAACTCCCCTTCCTTTGGTCTACTTACACTTGTACTTCAAGTTGTTCAATGACCTGTACACCCAAGAGAGAAAACTTTCCAATTAAACGTCATATCAAATCTTCACAACATTTTGTAAATCTTTCTTCTCCTCCTGCTGCCTGTTCTCTAGAACCATTGTATACTGTAGTAAGGACACACTTAGACATCCTATCAATAATACTTACTAGTAACTTGCTTGCCATCTCAGCATTTCCATAGTTAGTCTTCATATTTAATAACATATGAATGCTTTTTGCTAACAACCTTTATGAACTAACCATACCTTTGTAATTTAAGTGGCCTTGACAAGATATTTTACAGAAATTAAGAGTCAAATATCAATAGATGCATTTATAAATGAGGGAAACTGAGCTTTGTTTGCTTGCAGCAACATGTTTCCATCTGTTTGTTCTGACAATTAAACTGCCTTTACATTCACTTTAAGGCACATCTTGTGACATTACTGGAAAATAAATGATTTCTGGCACAGAATTTTAAACTGCATTTAAAAGTTAAAATTCAAATTCATTGCTTATTATTATCTGTAACAGATCCTAACACTAAAACCAAACCACACCAAAATAAATCCCATAAAAACCCAGAATCCTTCCTTTTTATCAAATTACAGGACAGAGTCATGGTGTGAGCACAATTTGGCAAGTTCCACTTTCCTCTGAATTTATGAGACTGTAGTGTTTGGAAGCATTCTTGGATATTCTAATAACTCTTTCCACCATTAATGAACACTACAACTCCTCTCCTCAGTCAGTATGGCCAGCAGCAGATAAAACAATGCAATGGGAAATCAACAGTTACACAGTGTAACCCTAGAGCATAGAAACCTCCCCTTTGTGTTCCAAGACCTTGGAAGAAAGAAAACTATATTTCTACATATTCCTAGGCAAAAAGCCATAGACAAAACAATTAATGTCAAGTTACATGCTCTAAGCACTTGTGAAAATGGAAATTCACAGGATCTTGTATGTCCAGATCAATGGAGTTCTACAATATTGTTTTTCAACAAGATTCCATTAATCTTCTGGTATTTCGCATACCAAGCAATGACAGCAACGGATGTGCAAAAGGTATGGGAAAAACTTCCAATGTTTTTTTAAGCAACAAATGTCATGGAATCTCCTGTATCCATTAAGATATTTTTGAAACAGCCAAGCTGGTCTAGTTATAAATAATATGTTTTATTTATAAGAGCTAATGATTTTTTCAGATTACTTATGGACTTACCCTGATTTTCTCCATGCAAAAATCTGGAAGACTACTAGTTTCCTACTAAGCTCACAGTAAATTTCTTTCTACCCATGCAAATCTCATTTGTATTAAAGAAAATATTCAATTAACCTCAAATGTTCAACATACTCAAATCTAATTAGAAATTAATATGAGATGCACTAAAGCTACAGTAAATACACATGCCTATTTCATTGCTATTATCTTGCTGGCTTTCCAACTGACATTATCAAACAGCAGACTCATTAGATTTTATTTTTTTTTTCTCCTTTATGCAAAGCTAATCTTAGATGACCAATTATCTCTGCAAATAACAACCACATTAGTACTATGCTGCAGAATACAATCCCAAAACAATTAAGACCAAAACCACCTTTTGATACTGATTCGCTAGGATATTTTAAAGTTTAAACAGTTGATACTTAAGCAGCAAAGAGAAAAATGAAATTTATGAAGCCAGGTTTTGCCTAGCAGAAATAATATGATACAGCACTATCAGACTGGAAAGCCGCACAGTCTTTACAAAACACAGTACTGTTTTCAAATATCACAGCTTGAAATATATTTAAGTTCCATAGCTCTCTCAAAAGTCTTAACTTTCATCCTGTATCCATCACAACTTTGCTGCATTTTGGTACTTTAACTTTGCAGACTCAGTACTTAAAAAAAACCCAACAGTATAATGCTTAGACCATACTCAATATACACAAGAATCAGAACATTGAGTAAAATTTTTTTGTACCTTCTGAATGCCTCTTTTATTCAATGAGAAGTGTTTAATTGCTTATATTGGCTTACAGTGTTATTTCAATGAGGTTTTAAAAAAATTATTTCAATTATGTCTGCCTATCTAGAACATTGGGAAAAGTGTTTACAGTCACTAACAGTTTGAATATTGTTCAGCTCAGAAAAAGAATTCTTACTTATCTGATGTCTCATTTAGTGCACGATGCCAGAAATCCCATTTGTTTGAATGGAAATCTCAGTGAATGAAGGATTTTGCAGTGCTATTAGTTTCTGTGGGGGTTTTTTTGTGCTTTGTTTTGTTTTATTTGTTTGTTGGTTTTGTTTTGCGGGTTTTGTTTGTTTGTTTTTGTGGGTTTTTGTTTGTTTGGGGTTTTTTTTGGTGGGGCAGGGGTGTTGGTTTTTTTGCTAAAGCTTTACAAAGATTACTGTCTTTCTCCGAGTCACAGAAGTTAACACATCGCACCCTGTCCTCTATATTCCCTCTAAATGGGCTGTCCCCATCTACTGATGGTTCTACAAGGGATTTCAGTCTTCAAGTACAGGGTAATCCAATAGTTTTTGAGCATTAGGAGGATATAAATGAGTACATTGTTTGGCAAGTCTCCTTCTAAATCAGGTCTCTAGATGGTAGCAATTTTAAAGAGCTGACTGTGACACCACTTTTACAAAGCCACTTTCACAAAATAATTTTTCAAAGAATGCTTAATTTGAATGTCTGCATTTGCCGTGAGTCACAAATAGCAAACTGATTTACCTGCCTCAGGATAGTCTCAGCTAAAAATGCAATCCTTAAAGTACAAGAAAACATGAAGCACTCAGACTGAATCTTGGATGAAATAGAATTTAACATAAAAAATTGTTAATGAATAATTGAAATACTATGAAATAGCTGGGAAAATAATTAACAAGAGAATTATCAATTATTACATTAGTTTTTTGTATGTTATTAGTGTAAATTACATTGTGTATTCACATAAATTATTTTCAAATGATCATTTATTAGAGAGCAGCATATGGAACATGCAGGATTAAGTACTATGATGTAAATAGCAATGTATTAGTATTAAACATGGATGAATAACTTCCTATTTCAAAAAGTTCTTAAAGGAACACCGAGTATTCCCAAGTGATGATCAAGTCCAATTACATATTTTCTCCTTTCAACCATATTTCAGTTATATATGGTTACATGAGATATTTTTATTGTGCTGTACCATCATGTGCCAATACAGAAATCAGTTCATCATGTTCCTTTAAAAAGAAGATATATCTTTTAGTTATGTTTAGTTATGACTAATTTTAAAATGCATTTGCTAGCAGCATATTTAAATATATTGTAATGTTACCATTTCATACACAAGCCTATTTCAATAATTCATTTTGTATTTGATAATTGCATCCTTACCTCATAGCTTAAAACCAACCTTTAGTATTTCTCAGAATAACTGGGAAAGAGACAAATACAGTCAGCACACAGATAAATGCAACTATAATATATAGAGGAAGTAGGCTTCACTGGCAGGCATTTTCATAGGACAGAACTTGAGAGAAGACACAAGCCTGCCGAGGAATACATCACACTTACCATTGCTATAGTGATAGTGAATCCTCTGACCACTTGTTGGTTTGGGAAGTGACAGTGGGGTCTCCTCCACAAAGCAGTTGTACAGACTGTATTCTACAAACAGCAGCTGTATGGTGTCATCTGATGCAATTCGTGACTCAGTAAGACAGAACGACAGAACTTCAATCCGGATTGTTTCAGTTGCCTATTTAAGAAAAACCACAAACTTGATACAAATGATTTTGTGTTTCTGAAGTGTTAACACAAAACAAACAAATGTACATGGATATCACTGACTATTTTGTATGATTAACTGATTGACTGATTTTAACGTAGGCACAATGAGATTCGGATGCCCCAGGGTTTGCAGTTAGAAATACTGTTGCAACAGATACTGATTTACATTCGGTGTTGAAAATACTTGTGCAGTAGTCATACTGGAGAAGATTAGGTTAAGGTTATCTACATGTACAAATGATATCTGAACCTCAAATTTCAGTTCCTATTAGTTTTAGCTACACAGCAAAGTGATTTGTATCTTGATGCTGTAACTGCTTGAAATAGTAATATCAGGTACCAAAGTTTTCCAAAGGAAGGAAGGTACAAGAACTAGGAGTACTTCAATAAAAATCCATCAAGTCACAAAGTAGTTAGGCACATAGAAGTATCACTGTGTTTATATGGAATTCAACTTCATATAATGAACTTTTGTAGTTAATGCAAATAAACATTTACAAATTGAAGTTAACAACATAGTAAGAGTAATAACTCAGTTGTTCTTCACCACAGCCTTTTCTTATTATCTTTGACTAAAATGACATTTTTCCGTTGCTTATATGAAGTTGTTTCATTCTGTTCAGCAAAATCCATATTATTTGCGTACAGATAAATTTTAATAAGCTTTGTGTATTTAAGTGGGAATGTCAGACTCGAGAGACAGAGTCACAAATATTTCCCTAGGTAACTCCGTAATTCAAAGAAAGAAAAGCCACTATGGTTTCAAAACTGGAGTACGTTGGTGTGTATTCAAAGATGAGATTCTTCAAAGAGCAAACAGAACATGTTGGAATTCAGTAATGCAAAACAATTTTTTTAACTTCTTTTCAAGTTCATAACTTAATATTTCCCCTATATGGAAATATCATGACACTTTTTGATAGCAAAACTAAATCTCTTGAAGTAATACGTTATATTCAAAAGATTATCTTTCTAGATTCACCGTTAGAACGGCAAGTCAATATTCTAATTTATTATGGAGATAGCTTATATTTTTCCAAGCAAATTATATAATTAATCAAACCGAAAAGCAGGTGTACCCTATTGTAGAAATATCCATCATATAGAACAATTTCCACTGCTGTCAAGCCCTTTCAATATTTGATGAAGTAATTTTACCCCCTCCTTTCAAAAGACATTTGCTTTTATTATGTATCCTAAGACACTTTAACTAAAAACCCAAATCTGAATATTTCAATAAGATTGTTTTATTATTCAGTAGATTCATGGAAATTTTACTAGGATGACAGAAAATTCCACACCATTCTGTCTCCACTAATACAGGTACATGGCTTCAGCTGGCAATATTACTGGGATTAGCATAGAATGATGAAATATTTAAAGGAATTTTTTTTTCTGAAATCTAATAAATCAAATGACTGCCAAATGTCATTAAAGTGATGGTCTTTGACTTGAATACGCTTTTCATATTCAAATTTGAAAAGAAAGAGATGAAAGACTGGAAAGGTTACTCAGTTTCAACTAATAACCTCAAGCACTCCACATTCACATGCATAAAAAATGAAATTGGCTCTATTGTCTAATTTTACTTCAGAAACAACTCTTTTCTTCTTGCACTGAACAGATGTATTAGCATCTGTATTTAAAGTGATATGCTGAGTGGTTTTGTTCGCCCCAAAGTATTTAGCAGCTATGTCAAAGTAGTTTGTACACAGACAGTAGTTTATGAATCAAGTCCAAACACAATACCCTCTATTATAAAGCATTCCTTTCACATATTTTAAAATCTGTTTGACATATTTAGCACCTGTAATGGCATACTGTAGGCAAAGAAAATTCTGGTTTTTCAAGGACAGCAGGGTAAATGCAGGTAGTCTGCTTTCTAACTTACAGGGAAGCAAATAACTGAGTCATACTATTAGAAAATTGTAAGGAAAAATATTACTTTAAATCTTAACAGTCAAGAATACTTTAAGGCCTAGTTTTATTAATGTTAAACATGAATGCAGCATCAACAAAGGAGAACACAAACTGATTAAAAAAATAAATTAAAAAAATATAGAACTGCTTAAGAACAGCATAGCTAGCATGACATATTTCAGTGCTAATACAAAACTGCTCACGTTATGTAGCCATGCTGGAAATATATGTAGCACCCAATGTATGACAGAAATTAATTTTTAAACAACCATTTATATTTTTATGATGCAGACTGAAGTATGTTATTTAAATCTTTTCCCAAGTTGTTGGGTTTTCTTTAAGCCTTGGTCTCATTTATTAGGTACTATTCAAGTGAAAAATGGATAGTTTGTAATGACCAATAACTTCCCACAAATTATTCTGCTTTGATGGGAATAAAATTGGTCTTTAAATTTAGTATAAGAAACAAAATACAATGTGAAATTTCCTCAGAGAGACTGGACACACATACTAAAATAAATACTAAATACTTTCAAAGACCGTCTCTGAGAAACTGGTTCAGTGCTTTCATTTCAAGTGAGGAAGACAAAACACGGGCAAGATACTTAGTCCATGGCAATATTCTTTCTTTACCATTTAATATTGACCCTTTGTAATTAATGCTACCCATACATTTGGAAGAATCACTGAACAAGCTTGAGGATCAGTTTAAATGCTAAATGCAGGACATTACATGAGAATTTGAAGTACCGACAGAACATCTCATCTTTCTGATGTCTGAGATTAAAAATGTTTAAAAGATTAAAACAAAGGAAACATCCTAACTGTAAGATTTCTAGCTTTACCAACATTTAAAAATATTTGTGCTTTACTCCTTATATTTTGTGTTTATTTCCACAGTCCACTTATTCACTTGTTCCCTTCTGTTTCAAGCAGAGAGCACATCCAATAAACTATAAGCTATTGTCTGATAATCACAAGTACTCATCCATTTGCTATGAATACTTCAAACACTATCAGTAGTACTTGATTGACAAATATATTTACTGTATGAGACACTATCCATTTCCTCTAACAAGTGCCAAATTCCTGTGACCATCCTATTAACAACGTCAGAACAGAGCTGCAAATGAATGCAATCACAGGAATGTCAATCTAATTTAACTGTTCAGAGACACAAACATTACTTGTTAAGTAATTATGACTAACAAGGCAACAGGTGACATATATACATAAAAATACATATTACCAAAAATTATTATAGTCCTTAACTGTATGCAGTGACTTCTCACGTTAGGAACCTTCTAGTTTTAGATTTTCCCCATAATGGTGTAGAAGTGAGGATAGAAAGAGGGATATCACAGAATCACAGCATGTTAGGAGTTGGAAGGGACCTCGAAAGCTCCCCCAGTCCAACCCCTGCCAGAGCAGGAACACCCAGATGAGGTTACACAGGAAGGTGTCCAGGCGGGTTTTGAATGTCTGCAGAGAAGGAGACTCCATAACCTCTCTGGGGAGTCTGTATGGCAACGCTTCCTGTTCCTTCTCCAACTGGATGGGACATACGAAAGTGCACGCACTTTATACTTTCCCTAAGATCTGAGGCAAAGAGATCTCTCCTTGTTCAATAGCTCTTTTGGAGTTGGATTTACTGTGAAGGAGGTAAAGGCACGTATAATATTTCCCCAACACCACTGGTCTTCACCATCGGCTAGGAAGAGAATGCAACGGTATGAGGTCAGCGACATAATAAGGTTCCATGCAATCCCTTCAGCTCCGCCTAGAATTAAGAGCATGCTAAATAAAGAGAATGTATTTGTGACAGTAAGTGTGTCTCTGGTTGCTGCCATTTTATCTAGTGCAGAGTCCAAATGCATCCTTTTCAGAGCATGAATATCTTTTAATATCTTTAATATCTTCAAAGGTGTGGATTACTTGCTACAGCTTGAGAAAAAGTTGAATGATTAGATATTCTTTTCTATGCAAATCTGTAACAGACCCATCAATGCATCGATTTTTTCAAAAAAGACAACTTTTAACTCCATATAAAACACCAAACATTTTAGAAAATACTAAGTCCTTGAGGGATCTGAAGCTTTCTGACCACGACAACTATACACCTGAACTTAAAGTCACATTTGCACTTGACTCAGAATACAACTTTTGATCACCTGAATAATAGAATTTCTTCCCTTCAAATTGCTTGCCCCTTTCCACCCTTTCTGAAGAATAAACATGAAATTGTTCAGTGTTCCTCCTGGAGTTGAATTGTTTTTAAAGAGTTGGTTTTGCTACTTGCTAGTGGCATTGCCTCAACTAACAGTTTTTACAGATAAACTGTTTCAAAGGATGAATAAATACAAAAAAAAGCAGATATATCTGAAGCTGTTTGACTGCTGAGATACAAACTTCCTTCACTCTGAGTTTTTTCTCCCCAAGAAGTGAAGTCTATGTAAGCTACACCCCACTCTACTGCAGATTGTCTCATTCTTTTAGTTGTAAATCCATACATTTCAGTGCATCGTCTATTCAAACTGCTGTCATCTCAAACTTCATCAGTGGCAAGGGACAAATTAGGTTTTTCCTGGATTCTTCAAACTTTCTCTCTTTTACTGTCTATTAATGACTGTAATAGCAAACAATCACCTTTAAGGTGGAGGATTGCAAATGTTCTTTTAAAATCTTAAACCCATCAGTTGTCTTTGAAAATACTGACTACAAAGCTTTAATAAATTACTATCTTTTTCTGATAAGATAGAACTATTTCATTAATTTTATTTCTTGTTTTATTAAATACAGTAGTGCAGCATTTTTACTTCCCCAAGTAAATAAGTATATCTTATAAGAGGAAATGTACTATTCAAGTACTTCTATGAAAAAGGCATAATAAAAGTATTTATTACTTTGCTTTATATCCTCCCACCTTTCCACAAACACGTTTCCTTGACCAGCAAAACCACGAGTGGTTGGTGTTGCTTTTTAATAGTGTTTAATAAGAGATTTTAATGTCAAAATTAATTAGATCCTGAGATCTTAATTTACAGGAACCGATAATGACAGTTTTCAATAGATTGCTATTTGTGCAGGATAATGCACTCATAGTATCTGTGATAAAAAGAGAGATGTAAACACTCTTACAGAAAAAAACCAGGACCACCAACAAACAGATTGTTTTTGCCAGGAACTGCCTTATGGGCACATTTTAAGATGACTTGGAAGATGACAGCAGTAAATTTTATTGTGATAATGGAATGCTATATTATTTCCTGTAAAGATAAAGTGCAGACATGGGTTGAAAGGGAGGAGGGGATGGAAGAGAGGAGATTTTTTTTTTAAATGTAAAGACCATGCCAAAGAAAATGCAAATCCCCAGTTTTGATGTCTATTTTGAGAATCTGAAACAAGGCTTTTAATCAATGTATTATACATCAAATTGATAATGTTAACTTGTGATTATTCAAATGTATGAAATATTTATAGAGAACTGTCCAAACTTTTACATTTCTCAGACTTCTTTTCTCTATTAATTATCATGCCTGGAAGCTTTTTAGTAAAAGCAGCAGCCATCAGCCTGACTGAACCTGACAAGCTAGCAAGGCCCAATTACACTGGCACTCTGTGGCACTTTGATGTACTGGAAACGAAAAGAGATAGGGGCAAATTGTATAGCACATTATGTTAATGACTTGATTTAATCCAGCCACTAAACTTTATGTAGCCTGTTAAAAAAGATGCTAACACTAATTACGCCACTTTGGAAAGGAAGGAAGGGGACAAGCATTTCATACCGACAAAGTGAAGCTCATAAATGTTGTAAATGAAATGAAACAAAATGAAGTAATCTATGATTAATTATACATCATAGACAAGAAGAAAAGAGAAAGAAGCAAGTGGTACAGCTAAGTACTGGAAAATCTGTTAGATACCCTTTATGATCAACATATCTAAGAAATAACCATGAACTGTCTAATTTGCAACATGCTAAAAAGAAACAGTATGATCTTAAATGGCTTAAACAGTTTGGCACACAGCTCAGATGTGTAGGATAATTAGCACAACGATCTCTAAAAATCACAGGTCTTATTTACAGTGTTTGATTACCAGCAGGATATTTATCTCAAAAGATAAAAGGCACTGATTTTTCATCTTTTAAAAAATACAAATTCAATCACAATTTTCACATGCTGTATTCTATAATTAACTCAATATTTCAAATATACCGATGCCTATTTTAAAAATTTAATTTGTATCAAACATGTCGTCCCAATGGTTCATAGATTTGGTTGTCTTATCTACCCTTCTTGAACATGCACTTTGTTACCAGAGGAACAGATAAGTGGAGAGAGTAGAAATCAATGAACCTGAAATGAGTCTACACTCAAAATCCTCTCAGAAGTCTTCTTAAATAATTTTGATTAAAAAATAAAATACAGGATGACTAGATGAACCTATTCTAGTGTGACTTATGGTGATGAGTAGCAGTCGTTTCAGTTCTCAAAATCACAGGTGAGACAACTGTTTAACATTTTACAAATAAAAAATGCAATTCCATCTTCAAAAGTACCTTTTGTATCTTTCTGCAGCGTGTGTAACTGATAGCAATTCTAAATCCCTCCTACACCTTAAAAAAGGAGCAATATTTCTCATACTAAGCGTTGGTTGCTAGTTACTTTGTAAGATGTCACCCAGCCTTGAAAGAAGGATAAAAAATAATTAAAAAAATGAAACTACCTTTGCAGAACACTAAAAAAGTTAAAACTGATAGCAGTAAACCTCTGGTCTTTTAAATGAAGGCTAATACAGACGAGAGAAGTATTACTGTTAGAAGTATAATGATCAATTTTAAGGGCTAGTTTTATATTTTTGAAGATTGTTCAGCCAACGTTAGATCTACAAGTTTGAAATATTCTTATTTTTCAAGAGAACTATACTATTAAAATACTGTTCAAAGTAACATTTCCAAATTTATATTATGCTATTTTGTATATGTGACTTTACGTTCATTAATTGCTGGTTTTAAGAACAAGTCGAGAAAGTAACATCACTGTACATGCCCACAAATAAAAATAGAAAAAGTACAAGTGCACCGAAGTGTTTGGATGCTGTACATGTACAAACCTTATCGAAAATGGATGTTCAGTTCTAAAACTGTTGGGAAATCAGGAACAAAAAGAAATCTGTATGGATGAACTAGAAAATATATGCACAGTTTGCATGTAATTAACAACCTCAAGCTTACACAATTGCCATTTCAATGACATTTGATCAAGTCAACATACTCGGGTGAAACATAGTTGGTAGCTAAGCATTGTAGAGTTACTACAGGCCTTGACAAGTGAAATTATCCCCCCCTCCCTCAGAAAGCACTGGAAGAAGCAGAAAAGCAACAGGTAGGACAGAACAAGAAGACGTAGTTCTTTAAGACATTCACATTACAATAGTTAATCTTTCATTAGGGAGATTTTGTGCAGGACAGAAATTTGAATTTGCATTGAAACCAGTTAGAAACGTCTACTTGTAAGCATGTATGACAATGTTGTCATCTTGAAGAGATGACAACAGATTTCCCCATTAAAAGAAAAATATTTGTAAGTCACATGCACAATATGGTCAGGTTAACTTTTCTTTTTCTTCTGTGAAAAGGTGTCTATCTGAGCTGGAAGCAGGAAAACATAAATTTGTTGAAAATGCCTTAGAATCTGACCTTAGATATAGCAAAGCTACTCTTAGAGAACATTAGGTTTAAAATGTTTTTCTTAGATTTACCAAATAATTGCCATAAATACTCTGACTCACTTGTTTAATATTCTTGGATACTGGAATTGAAACAATACAGTCATCACTGTCAGTTTCTACTGATTCAGCAGCATCACTTTCTTGTCTATCATCTTGAGCTGAAAAAAGAAAAATCAATGTAGTTAAAAACTCCTGTACTTGTAGTCCATCTGAGACTTGCTGAGAAACCAGACAGCAATATATTTCCTTTTCTAATAAAGTACAAGTGCCAGATAAATCTTCTCTTCCTTGCAGAAGATTAACACTGGTAAATCAATGACCTTTCAAGTCATCTATACTGTATTTTTCTCTGATTTCCTAGAAAAATAGTAATGTTTCCCAGATGAAAGTTGATGAGTGGGATGACGTAAGTCCTGTGATGAATTTCATTATGAACAACAGTTGGCTTTATGTAAGAATATGGTCTGAATTTGTTGATTTCTTCTGACTACATTTACCACCATGCACAGGTAAATAAGAATGTACATTCTTGGTTTTTTTAGTTCTGTTTGCAGGTGGAGTATTTTCTAAAGCATTCAAGTCTTTATTTCTCTGCAGCAAATTACTTACACACAACAGGGATTCAACATTACGTTTTTCCAACTTTTCTAACAAATTCTTATGCAGAAGCCTTGAACAACTGAACATAAAATTTTAGCACCCTACTTGTGCTTTTACTTTAAACTTGGTCTCACGGACTTGGTTTACTACAATGATAAACAGTTTAACTTCGGAGGTGGAACTGGATGACATGGCTTTTATAATCTTTAAATAAATCTGCCTCGAACAACTTTATGTCACAGATGTGACGAGACATACTACCCCTCTCACTGCCTGAACAGATTTCCGATATCAGCATTGGCTGTTATCTGCAGACAAAAGCAGCATATTAATTAAAATAGTCTTTAGAACAGCATAGTTCTAAGGGAGAATATGAAGACATTTAAAATAGAAGCCAAGTTCCCTTTAATATTTTATGAATCTAGGGCAGATACCAGATTTCTGCATTCAATTACAAGACAGTTTCCATTTGGGAAGAAAATAACACCACTATATCTACCACATAGCTTCAGCTAGAAGAATATAATTTCTGTCAGGAAGCTCCTCATAATGAGGCAGCTCCCACTGCTAGTAAGAATTGCTAAAGAAAATGGAAAGGGACTGATTTATTAAGAAAATACAGCTACATATTCATAAAAATGAATTCTACCTTCTGGTTCCAATTCTTCAGTTATTTTTTTCTCATCTCCAGAGGTAACTGAGCTTTGGCCAGCCAACTGCCCCTCTGACAGATGTGAGAGGTCTTCTTCTTCCTGTTGACTTTCTTCAGCCATCTCCTTCACCTTATCATCTGCTGGCCTTTCTTGTTCAACCTCATGTACCACATGCTATATAAAAACAGATAAACTCAGTCTCTATAACACTCCTCAAATAGTAAAATTTACTAAAGTTCAAAACTTGAAGAGTTATGGCTCACATTCATTATACATAGCCTTTAAACAATTATATTGCTTCTGTGGCGCAGGAACAATGAGAAGTTGTCAACTGCAGGAACAAATAATTGAAACAGTAGAAAGACAATTCTCCAAGCACGTATATTTGTGGGAACATAACTATTATAATCATTTGGTACCTGTCAACATACACACAGCCTGTTAGATTTCCAGATTCATTTCTATTTCAGCTGTTTCAGTTCTACAAGACCCAGTTTAAAAAAAAAAAAGAAAAAAAAGAAACCACCACCACCTTCCTCAGCTAGCAATTTTATCACTTAAATCATACTACATTTTCTGTTTCAAAAGCAAGCTAAAATAATATAGAAAAGAACTGGCTTTGCTACAAAATACAAACGTGTTATCTAAGGTAAAATACCTTTAGTGCATAACTTACTCTGAGGTAATCATACTCCCTCCTTTCTCTTTGAGTACAATTACATAGCATAATACCTCATCAGTGGATATACAGACATCTTCCACAGAAATTTGCTGGAGACCTTTGCATTATTTATTATCCAACAATCCTCCTCTAGGACTGAATTTTCCACAGAGACACTGACACCTCACTTTCCACCCTCAGAATCCATGAGATAACTTTCAACTGTCCACAGAACATCCAAAATCTGGACCTGAAGAGTAATTTCTATTCTGACACATTTGAAGCCATACAAACCAAGCAACGTCAACAGACACTGAAGAGCCTTATTCTGTAAATAAAGGTGATCCTTGAACTTTTTAGGTCGTAGAAAACTAAGTGTCTTATGCTTCTCCTTGGCACAGATGTTGTGTCATAATCACTGTGTTTTAGACAGTGTTTGGCCATTCTTTTTAATTCCTTCAATGACAGAGTTGCATTTTGTGGATAAAATTTTGAGAGCGAGAATACTTTTTGATTATGTACCACCTGATGTAGTGGAACGGAGACTTAACCTCTCAGTCAAAGCCACAGGTGAGCTTTAAAGTAGAAAAGCAAAAGGAAGACAAGAACCAGTGATTAAATATTGTGTGAACACTAGAAATTACAGTTTGCCAATCTGCCACAAATTACCTTCAAAACCAATTGGGCTATTACAAATTACAGCATTTAATACTTTTCTTCTCCTTGGAATGCTACATATTTAGCAATATTCCAAAGTTATTTCTTCTTCATTCTCCTCTCCCCTGGTATGGCTAATTTGGTAGTTTTGGTAATAATAAATAATAATAAATAAATAATGGTAATTTTTAGAGGGAAGACAAAGATAGACTTAATTCAAACATATAAGAAAATTGTTCTATAAAAATCACAAAACCTGAATAATCTCATACCTCTGAAACGCTTGGATCTCTTGAAGACTTCATCTTCTGTGCAAGTTCCGTGTTATTTTCAAGAACAGAGCCCTAAGTTATGGGTAAAATGAGGGGAAGCCTTTAATATATAGTTGACAAATAACAAAAGTAGATATAAATTTACTGGTTGAGAAGCATTTGGATAGAAAGTTACATCCTCTTTGCTTCCCTGCATGAGCATTACTGCTTCTATCCTCTGCTATAGCTTCTACCTATAAGGCTGGAAAAGTCTGACAAGTGACCATTCATCCCACCTTTTATTGAGTTTCCATTTCTCTAAACAACTATTTGATTTGGCATGCGTCACATTAATATCCAAGAACTAGATTCTCTGCTATTCAGAAAATGAACAGTAAAATGAAACAGCCTATTCCTGTTCAATTTTAATTTGCTGAGCTTCTAATTCTCTTGCATGGACACTCTCTTGCTGCTTCACTACAGCATTTTGACATCAGAGAAGCCCCAGCTATTTCATTACTCAGTTCTAACAGTACTTCTGTCTCTAAGCAGACTGTGAAGCTGGGATTTCTAAAACAGCTAGGGGAGTTGCCATCCAGTAATGAAGACTTCTGATGGAGACCAAGTAGCTGTCTCCCTTAGAAAATCCTAGTTCTGAAAAGTTGTTCAGTTTTGAGAAGTTGCTGTTTGGATGGCTATGTTATGTTGTGTGTGTGAGTATATGGGTAACATTTCAGTTTTCCATATCTAAGCTCTCAAAAGATTTTATTTCATCAACTTTCGACTTTAAAAAAAAGAAAAGTACATAAATGCAAGAGATTGACCTAATTCTTCTTTCCTGTCTATACCGCATGGCTCAAAATAAAGTCCTAGTCATAGCAAACTAAGCAATAGCAGAAGGACATGTGATTTGAAAACTATTGTTAACATTTCAAAAAATAAATCCAATCAAGGCATTTACAAATAGAAAAAAAATCACTACTAGTTTTTAATTAATTAATGCAACACAACATTATTAACTAATAATAATAATAATACTCAAAACCTTTTATAATTAGCTGTTAAAGAACCTACCTTAAGTTACTGGATTTAATTAAAAGAGTAAGTACAGCCTATTCTTAGTCTTAATCTGAAGGCAGGTTATTTAAGATCAAATGCAAGTTTACACCGTACAGCAGATATGTTTGAGTTATCTCCATGTAGACTCTCCTGGAGTCTGAGAAAGGGTGTACATGATAGTGCATCTCAAGTTCAGAAGTACATTTTTTTCACAGTGTGTGTAATGCCAGATGATAAACCTTGTTTAGGACTGAACTATTTCAAACTCTGTATCTCGTTAGCACAACATTCAGGATCTGTTTGGATGAAGGTGGTTTCTGTAGCTATTTACATGTCTGTGCAAGTGGTACACTGTGCAAGACACTTTATTTAATAACCCAGAGAGCTGAGAAACACTGTGTGGATACAGTTGATTGGTCCTGTTAGAATCTGCCCTGCTTGCAAACTGTGGAGGATAGCAAGCAATCCTGAGGGAGTCACACACATATCCCTGTATTGTATCTCCTAGCTATATGAAGTATTATGCTATCATTCACTGTCTGGGACTTCCCAGTCCTGTGTTGCTAAAATAACTGAGTGCTCTCTATTAGTTCTACAAATTGTCCACACCGAGACATCTTTCTTACTTAAATATATACAAGCAAAATACTTAAAGCTTACTGTCATCTGTATTGTACTAGCATCCAGAAAAGATACCTTCTCGACTTCTTTAACTGCATGCTGCCTTGGTTTGGGTGTTGGTTTCTGTAATAAAACAAATAAAGATTAAGATAATTTATTGCCATATTCTAACCATCTTATTTGGCAGTAAATTTTGAAGGACCCTAATTTTTCTCAAAGACAAATCTAGCTACACTAAATTCAATTCTAAACAGGCAAGATGATGCAGATGTTGTTTGAATAAGCAGCCCCCTGGAAATGGAGATACCTGTCAGAATTCAGCCACAAATGGGTATAAAACTCTATAGAACATTGATGGAATGCAATGTGAGCTGCAAATAAGAAATAACTGTGGGACTGAAGTCAGTGGTATCACATATGTGGCAGAATGATTTACTATCATAGTTTATGGAGTGCTTGATTCCTTTCCTCGTTTTGTAGGCTTACCATATCTTTGACACTTTTCCTCATCCCACTCCCTTTGGAGAATTTGAACACAGAAACAGAAAAGAGACTGGTAAGAGTTGCAAAATTAACAAAATGATCCAGAAATATTTCTGTCATGATGTTAAAATACAGAAGGCCAAAAATAAAGAAAAAATGGTTTATTACTTTTCGCGCTTTACTCTTTTGATGAAGGGAGAAATTATCCTACATTTCCACTGATTTTTATACAGAGAAAATCCTACCACTACTTTTAGTTTACGAGTGATTTTTAAGAAGATATCTGGTATCTTAGCACTATGCTCCAGGCACCAGAATAACAAAGAGTGTGGTGCAGATACACCTATGTACCCGTACATATGGCTTAGGTCTGGCTGCCTGAGAATTCTTTTGACTCAAAGCTACCCCAAACTAACTGAGCTCCGTCTGGGTTTCTAACAGACCACAGAAATAATAGCTGATTTCTTGAGTGTCATAAATTTCAACTGTAGCCCTGAAGACACACAAGCATGTGACTACACTTTATGTAGGACATCTACATTGGAAAGAGAATACGTACTAAATGTATAGGTTTGTTATTTCTCCTCCCTTTTCTCCCTACTCTTTTGCTAACCAGTTATCTACTTCTATAAAAGATTTTTAAAAAGCTTTGGACACAGGAAAGATTTCAGTTCCCAAAGTAAATCAAAGATGGTGGTTATATGAAGTATTTGTCCTATACATTATTTTGTGGTAAGGACAAATCCTGGTCATCAGGAAATAACTAAACAACCTGCTGTAATAGGTCTTTTATATCTCTTAACTTCTGTGAGTCTGTTAAATTACTTACTGTCACTGATGAAGTAAAAGGAGATAGGGATGTAGTCTGCATTTCTTCCTCTGCTAGTAATCTAGTTGCCATTGATTTCTCATTTTGAATGTAATTCACTAAGTTCACAGCCATTGTTGATCCACTTGGTGGTAGGTAGGCAAACTTCCATTTTAATTCAACTGTGATGGTACCACTAGCACATCTTTCAGGATCTGTTAGTTCAAAAGTACCTGAAAGCAAAATGCAAATCTTGTCTAAATTATCTTATTCCATACGTATATGAGAAAATGCAAAGCAAAACTGAATGGGATTCAGGAATTAGGTAACTTTATAGTCTTTATTTTAGAAGTCAAACAGTGTCAAAATACTATGTTTTGTAGATCCAAATACATCCAGTGCTACACCACGAACATTTAAAAATACAGGATTTAGAAGGGACTGGATTACTGCATTTGTTCCAGATGTCTTACAGGTTTCTTAGATAATCCAATACCAGATACCTAATTTTTACTGACACCTTTCAAAAGACCCAACTAAAACATTTCCATGTTTTACTAATACTTACTAAAAGAAGGACATAGATGTGCTGTAGCATGTCCAGAGAAGGCCAATGAAGCTAGTGAAGGGTCTGGAGAACAAGTGTTGAGGAGCGCTGAGGGAGCTGGGGTTGTTTAGGTTGGAGAAAAGGAGGCTGAGGGAAGACCTTATCACTCTCTACAACTGCCTGGAAGGAGGTTGCAGAGAGGTGGGTGTTGGTCTCTTCTTCCATGTAAGCAGTGACAGGACAAGAGGAAATGGCTTCAAGCTGCACCAGCGGAGGTTTAGATTGGATATAGGGAAAAATTCTCTACTGAAAGAGTGGTCAAGCACTGGAACAGGTTGCCCAGGGAGGTGGTGTAGTCACCACCCCTAGAGGTGTTCAAGAAGCGTGGATATGGCACACGTACTGAAGAACATGGTTTAGCGGGCACGGTCGTGTTTGGTTGACAGTTGGATTCAATGATCTTAGAGGTCTCTTCCAACCTTAAAGATTCTGTGATTCTGTAATACTTTGGTTAAAGAAAATAAAAGGGTTTCAAAAATCTGCAAGTTGCTAAATCTTTATCAAAGAAACACCTTAAATTCACTTACAATTTTTCTCCTATTATCCATTTACATGAGATAATCAGAGAACCATTATTTTTAAAATTTTAAATAATAATTAAGCAGCTTTTATATTATAAATGCCCTAGTAAATTTGTAACTGATATCAACTTGCAGGGAGCAGTTGATGCACTGAAGGCAGGGCTGCTATTCACACAATAGAAAAAATGGGCTGATGGAATCCTCATGAAGTTCAGCAAAAGCAAATGCAAAGTCCTGCATCAGCCCAGGAATAGCCCTGAGTAGCATTTACAGGCTGGGATTTGACTTGCCACAAGCAGCCTTGCAGAAAAAGAGCGGGTCCTGTTTGACAAAAACAATATAAGCCAGCCAATCTGTGTCATTGCAGCAAAGAATGCCAACTGCCCCCTGGTCTGTATTAGCAAGAAAGCAATCTAGCACGTCCAGGAAAGTTTCATGCTTTCTCCATTCAACACCTATGAGATGGCACCTGGAATACTGTGAAGACACTGACATTCTGGAACAGGTCCAGCCGTGGGCTACAGAGAGTATCAAGGCACGGCAGCACAGGACACAGAAGCAGCGAAAAAGCTGTTTGATAACCTTCAGAAGAGAAGGCTCAAAGGGGAAGTTATTGCCAACTTACTGAAGGGTTCAGAAAAGACAGAACCAGAGGTGGACAGCAGAAGGAAGACAGCCTACAGACAAGTTGGAACATGAGAAATCCCAGCTCTCTAAGGAATATGTTTTTGTTATGAGGGTGATGAAACATTGGAACAGGTTGACCAGACAGGTATTAGATCTCTGTCCTTTAAGATATTCAAAATTTAACATGGCACAGTCCTGAGCAACTTGCTCTAACTGGGTCAGGAGGCTGGACTAGATCATATCAGGTGCTCCAATCAACAATGATTCTAAGATTCCAAGTGTAGCTCTTGATCTGTTCTCTCCCCCCAAAGAGGGCTGATTGGTCATGTCAATTTTCTAATTTACATTAAATTCACATTAGCCAAAACTAGCAAATGAAACTAATGAAGAACAAAAAATGAAGCCGTGCAGTGAAAGAAACTATGTTATAAATTAGCGTATCAGTCCTGGAAAACAGAAGAAAAGTACCAACATCAGAAGAAGAGGAGGTGGGAGAAAATATGCATATGCCAGGAAACATTTTTTATCATTAGAACATAAAAATAGGACCAGTAAAAGAAGATATCAAATATTTCCAGGTTACTTTTGAACCAGAGAGAAACACTTGATGTGTTTTTTTCAAGAGTTATTTCAAGACACCTGTTTTTGTTTCACAGATATCTTGCACGTATGAAAGCAGTAAATTCTGAAAGTCAGCTTTCAGCCACCCCTTCCCACCTGATGTTAAGATTAACAGGGGCCTTCTACCTAATAACGAGAGATACTCATAATATAGCAGTGTGTGAAATCTAACTGGCCAGTTTGGCAGGCTTCTCAAGGAGAAAAAAAGTGGTAAAAGACAGAGGCAAAGAGATTACTAAAACCCTAACAAAAAGGGAAACATTAATAATGTCAGCACTAGAGTGACACATCATTCCAATTATAATTATTTATCAAAACATAATTATTCCCTACCTGAGCCAGTAGAGAGAACAAAAAAGGATTTAAAAGACTTCTTTGGACATGCTGTAGCCCATCAATGTCCTTCTTGTAGTGAGGGGCCCAAAACGGAACACAGGATTTGAGATGCAGCCTCACCAGTGCTGAGTACAGGGGGACAATCACTTCCCTGCTCCTGCTGGCCACACTATTTCTGATGCAGGCCAGGATGCTGTTGGCCTTCTTAGTCACCTGGGCACACAGCTGGCTCATGTTCAGCTGGCTGTCACTAACACCTCCAGGTGCTTTTCCATGAGGTAGCTTTCCAACAACTCTTCCCCAGGCCTGCAGCATTGCATGGGGTTGTTGTGATCCAAGTGCAGGACCCAGCACTTGGTCTTTCTGAATCTCACACAACTGGCCTCAGACAGCGCTGGCCTGTCCAAATGCCACTGAAGAGCCTATCTTTAGTTTGTTTTTTAAAGAGATACACAACAGGAAGTGAAGATTTTAAGTTTAAAGCGGTCTTACCTGAGATAGATCCGTCATGTGCTAAACAAATAAGAGGCACATTGGCTTTCCCTATTCCTACATAAGTACCTTCTTCCGTTTCAGCATCGTCAAATACATAAAAGGTTAAGGATTCTGATTTTAAGTACTGGTCTAAGTCTGCATTCATTGGCACCTGGAAACACATATGGTCATCTATTTGTGGGTTGTTGCTGCTAGGAATGATGGCAGTATCGTGGTCTTCAAAATCAAAGAACTTGTAGATAACATAAGAATTTGGCTGTAGATGTTTCCTCCAAGACTGTAGATTGTTACAACATTTTACTGTAATGTGGAGTTCATTTAAATTGCCATCTGTTGACGTGCTGACTTGGGCAGTTCCAAGTATCTCCTGCTTTAAATGAAAAAGAAGTTAAATTAAAAACATTAGAATTCTTACGTTGGTGAACTCTAAGAACTACATAAATAGAACAAATCACTGATTATTTCAATAGCGCTCCAACTACTGTTTAATTTTATAGGTCAAAATATTAATTGTTCTATAAATTCAACAATATCTCTCTTGGCTTGTTGGTATAAGGAAATAAAAGGCTAATCCTTTAAGGTCTATGATTGTTTGCTTTATTCTTCTAAAAGTTTGTGATCTACTGATCACAGTTTTAAGAATTATTCATATCCAGTGCACTTTGAAATTAAGGATTCTGATCTTGACAGCTATTATGTGTCAAGAAGTTTTTGTAACTGTAGCCCCTTTTCTATATGGACTTTTCAATAATTAACATTGCACTGCAGATTCCTCTCTTTTTTTTTTTCCTCCATAACCTTTACCTACATAAACAATTTACAAAATTTAGAAATTAGCATGTGAAGAGTAACAATATATGTCTGAAGTAAATTAAAAACTTAATGATATGACAAATTTTTTTGAATGCATCGGGGTAACTATGATATAGTAGCAATCACAGAAACACGGCGGACTGAGTCACACAGCTGGAGTGCTGCCATAGACGGGTATAAGAAGGGATAGGCAAGGAAGGAAAGGCAGTG